TCAGGGCTATCAGAACGCTGGTGCCCAAGTAAAAAGCCAGGGTTGCCTTTGTGTCAAGAGATGTCCTTTTTCATCACATCTAGAAATACTGAGGAGAGCTCAGGGATGCCTTTTCTGCCTGTGTGGACAAATGACAGCCACACTCCTCGGCCATTGTGCTCTCAGCAACGAGGCGGGGTCAGAGCTGCAGCACCGCGTCCCCCGGGCTCTGTCCTGAGGGCCTGATCCTGCTGAACTGCTCTAGAGTCATTGAACACAGCCATGCTTCTTTCATACACCCAAGTGAACTGCAAATTTTAAAAAAGGCGTGTGGAGAACAAACGCTATAAATTAGATCTAAAACTGCATTTTTAAAAACAGTGTAGGATCTCAGCCTTGATTCTATAGCACGAATAGAGCAGCAGAGGCAAGTCAAAGTTCATTTGGAAAGATCGCAGAGTTCTTTGCTTAAACGTGGTCTTTCTCAGCTCTCATCACTTAACACCAGAGGCAAGAGTGCCACAGAGCAACGGACCAGAATGGTGTGTGGAGGTTTTCAGCAATTTCCTGTGGCTCGACTTTGCTTTCTGCTGGGTGGGCAGAGGAAAATGGGTCTCCTCCAGCCTCCCATTCCAGGAGCAAACTCTGCAGACTTGATTTTTCCTGTAGCAACTGAGAGCCCAACACCACCAAGGAATCGATTCAGGCTGCAGAAAGCCCAAGGAGAGAGGCCTGGCGGGGCAAATTTGTCTAAGAGAGACACCACAGACATCCTTTAAAAACTACGAGATATAAAAGCCTCGTTCAAGAGGGAGCAATGAAACAAACACTCACTCAGAGAAAACTCAAGTAGACTGTGGACATCCTGCGCTCCCCTAAGGGTAACATCGCAAGAGACGAGAGCTAAATCAGAACAGGTTTTGGAAAAATTTTATTGCATTTTGTTTCCATGTGGAAGCACTGACAGAATTGAAAAGAGGCAGCATGTTCCACTTACTTTTCTGAAAATCACATGGCTAGATTAACTTTCTCCCTACCCAGGACCGGATTGAATAAACCTTATCCCCCACTCCCACCCCAAGCAAAAGCTAAAAAAGGGGGTTTATGGCAATTGTTCAAAAGATAATCAATGTGTGAGAACTCACGGATGGTCAGTATTGGGATTTGTTATCTTTGCGTTTGGAGGGCATCCCTGCCTCCCACCTCTCCCCACTGTCTCCACCACCTCCTTCAAAGACCAGCGCGGGAAGTGCCCCCAGGTGGAGAGCCTACCCAGCTCGGTGCCCCAGGCTCAGGTGTATCTGCCAATTCCAGTGACTGGCGGGGCTGTAATGTTGCCCCAGCATCACGGTCAGCCCGATGCCAGGAGAACAGCCTCTCAGGTTAAAACACAGATTAAGACACAGGTACGTGTGTACGTTTATAAGTCTTAAATATCAGAAAGTGACTCCACTTCAGGGGGTTACAAACTGAGGAGAATGGGTAGACCGCAGGGCTGTACGTGTTGGGCATGGGTGCCTGTTGCCCTCGGAATTAACACTGCTTGATTGACATCTTGCTGGGCAAGGGAGGTGGGTGGTAAGAGGAACTAGATGTAACAAAGGAAAATGTAGCTTGCCTGAAATTGCATAATTTTTTTCCTCTTTTGATTGTATAAGGCATTTTAAACTGGAAAAACTCCTTTCCTTCACACACTTCCAAATAATCAGATGGAATATAATTGCTGATTCCGAATACAAATAAGACCCCTTTCATCTCTCTCCCAATACCCCAAAAGTCATTCTACACACTTCAAACCCATAAAGTACAAGGCAGGCAACCAATTTTGTGAATTGGGAGGCAAACTGTGTCCATTTGGGGGCTGAGGCCACTGTGCCAAGTGCCCTTCTGAAGGCTCCTGCCCTGATCCTGCCCCTCTCGGGCCTCAAGGGGTAAGCATCCATCTTCGGTGAGGTTTTAAGTCCCTTCCGGGGACCCGCCATACCTCCTGGCTTTCCTACGCATCCCCCACCAGGCGTCTGGACTGGTCCATCCACGCACAGCGTCCCGTCTCAGTTAGTAGAAGTGGGCACAGCCAGGAGACAATGCCCTCCACGTTAGTCATGCCAGACAGACAGCAGAGAGGAAACCAGAGGCCAGAGAAGTGATTTTAAAAGAGGGGGGAAAAAAAAAGAGCAGCTTCGATCACCAAAAAAATCGAAAGGATGATTTTGAAAAAATAAAACATGGGGAACTTTTTTTTTTTCTCTGCAATGCTCAGCCATTTTACTTGAGACATAAAAAAAAGTTTTAAGAGTAGTTATTTTGCTTTTTCGGTTAACACTCATGTGAACGGACCGGACGGTAGTGCTGTGATGTGGTTTGGGTCTGAGTGGCAATGCTGGTCAGGGTCCTTCAGACCACATACTGGTACGGGTCTGCCTTCCCTTGGTCTGGCGTGGCAAAGGGGCTGGCCCAGCCTAGAGAGAAGGGGTGGCCAAAAACGGCTTTCATGTTCATCCATTTTGTTTTTTTAGCCCATCTTCTCTCTTCCTTTTTCAATTGTTCTATGCCCTGAAAACAAGAACAATCATACTTTCAGTCAAGCACTTCATTGCTGTGGTTTCTGGGGAGGGACGGGCATAGCTTGAGGTGAATGGAGTACATGCTTCCTTTGTAAAGCAATAAGGCTAGCTACATAATGCATCTTTCTCTTTTCCTCATAAAAAGTATTACTAAAAAAAATTATACTTTTGTTGGTGGGCACACCTTTACCCATTTTCCTCCAAGAAAGGAGGGGAAAACGAGCAAAATTAGCAGGTGCTTAAGCCATTGTTCCTGATTATGCCGATCCGGTGTGTTTAAGTCAAGGAGCACGTCTTATCCAGGTTTGGGTCCTCCCTGGGCTCTGCAGAGGGGCTTCTAGGAACCCTCGAGCCGGGCTGCGCATGGGCTGCTGCCAAGGCTTTGCGTGACAAGCCCCAGAGCTGGTGGGAGCTCATGATCGTGACAACCAACAACAGCCGATATTTTGGGATAGGTTCCTAGGAAGTCTGAAGCTACCATGACCAATTTGCAGACAAAAAAAAGTAACAAATCAAATGACTGCTCTGGCGCTTTGAGTCTCGCCAGCCTGGGGGATCGGGAAGCACCCGGCTTAGTGGGGCTGACGAGACACAAACTGAGGAGGTCGAGCGGGAGTGAGAGACCACGGGTGAGGGGAGAAGTCACCACAGAGGAGGAAGGAAAGGGATTAGTATAGGTTAGAGGGCGGCACGGCCAGGCCAGGCAGCCTTGGTCACGGCGAAGGCCTCCTGGTGCTGCTCTGGGGAGAAGCGTGGCAGAGACCAGCGCTGCAGCTGTGGCATGGCCGGTGCCCGCCCCCGCCCCCCCGCTACGTCTCACAGGGCAAAATGGGGGTTGCGAGAAGCTGCCTACTCCCTTTTTCCTTCTTCAGATGGAGCTGGTCAGCTGCCAGAGGGGCTGACCAAAGGGCAGGACCTGAGAATGGGACCCCTGCTCAGAGGGACAAGAGGGAAGCAGCCTGGCAGGAGCTTGGCCAGGCGTCTGTCTGCTGTGGTCTCTGGTGAGGTAGGGACCTGGAGGCACAGCCCAGGGAACTGGGAAGGATCCAGGGCAAGGGGAAGACACCCTTTCCCAGGGGCTGCCTGGCCCGTTGTTCCTTTCTCCTTTCCTTTCCAACATAATCCCTTCTGGAATGGCCTGGACAGGGAAGAAAACTAGGACCTGTGCTGTGAGAGTTTGCCTTCTGGCTCCCCCAGACCACGGCCTGTGTGGCCCGGCAGCATCCAGCAGCAGGCGGGGCCTGACGGTCACCTCTGGGTCCCTTGCAAGTCTTACACAGAGAAGTTGGTCACATTTACTTGCTTGGAGACACGGCTGGATCTACACCACTGGCTACAATTTTTATGAGAACTCTTTTGCAATGATATTATTTCTCATAAAAGAAAAAAAGTTGCTGAAAGCCCCCTAACCTTCTAAACCATCAGGAATCCTCACAGATCCAAATAATGGCACTGTGTCAGTCGGCAGCACTGCCCCTTCTCTTCCCTGCACACCGCCTTGCTGCACCCACAGGGGAGGGGAGCCCAGCACGGCGGTAAGGACTGTCTTCCTGCAAGCCTCCAGCCAGCGCTGACAAAGGCCCTGCCCAGAGCCCCTACACCACTATTGCGGGCTGCCACTGAGGGGGCTCCAGGACGCCAGAAGTGGTATGAGAATGGACCTGCCACCGCATGACTCTCCTCACACCTGGAGCTAAGTGCCGCCTCTTCTTCCCAGAGCCCCCTATCTGGACCCTGAAGCCAAGAAAGGAAGAAATGCACACATTGCAGCCTTGGAGTGACCGCCTTGAGGCTTCCAGACTCCTTAAGAAGGTCAGGAGGTGGTTGCAGGGGAACCAGGCGAGTGGCTTCGGTCTAGCCAAGCCAGCAGCTTCAAAGCTCCCAGAGGAGCTGTGGGCAGGGTGGGAGGTGGTAGAGGGGTGGGAAGAAGGCAGATGAGAGCCAGGGCCGAACCAAGCAGAGATGACCCGGAGGCCAGGCAGGAGCCTGCTGCCCTGCGGCGGAGGGCAGACCTGTCTCCTCACTCAGCCTCAGGATGCTGTCACGGCATCACCACCTATGAAAAGCTGACCCTGCTGGCCCAGCTGGATTAGGGCACCCTGTTGCCCACTGTATCACCAAGCCTGTGGCCCCCAGATGGGAAGGGTGGCCCCAGTGCCCAGTGGAGTGCCCAACACAGAGCAGTGTGTAAGGAGGGACCATCACAGGGGATGGAGGGAATCGTGACAAAGGCAGCCTTTCAGTCAAGGCTGCTGGGCCCATTCCTGGCATGAACTGCTGTGGCTGCCCCAGGACTGGAGGGAAGACTTGTTTGTGCATGAAGAAGACCCAAGTGTCACTGCAAAGGAAGGAACTGTGCCCTGCACCTGGGGGGGCCTGAGCAGCCCTCTCAGCAACACCGTCCGTGGTCCTCCCCGGCCCTAGCTGCAGAGGTGGTGGGCAGGGCTGCCCGCTTACCGTCTCATCCGTGCAGATGGAGTGCACCTGGGTCCCAAACATCACTGATGTGAAGATGAGGAAGAGCAGCCCCTCAAAGCACAGCAGGATGAGGAGGATCACCGTGGTGGGTGGCGAGAAGGAGCTGCACTCTGAAAGAGAAGGAACATGCGGGGCTTGGGGCTGCCACCCGCTGCCCCAGCTCGCTGCCCCCCTGGGCTCCCACTCTGCCTCCAGGCCCCCAGGTGGGGATCATCCTGCCCCGCCCCTGGCTCCCACTCCCTCGGGGAGGCCTCCTGAGCAGGCCAGGCCCCAGCCACTTCCCTGTCCCTAACACAAATCATTCCTTGCTCACTGTCCCCGGTGCCAAGGACAGTGCCCGGCACACGGAAGGACTTGGGAAGGACTCTTTACTGAACCACGAAGGCATGATGACACCACAGGAACCCTCCTCCTCTCCTCGGAGAGCGCGATGCGGTACGCGGGTGGAGATGTCTGTGCAGGCTGCGCTCACAGGGGCTTTCTGGGCATTCCTACGCGAGGCGCCGCCCTCCCTGCGCCTCCATCTGCTCACAGGCGAGAGGGAAGGGCAGGTGTGGAGGATCATTGGTGGCTGTGGGATTTGAAGCTTGGCGGAGGGCAATCTCACTGCTCGTGTTCAGCCCTGACCAGAGTGAGTAATGCCTTCTTCGGGGACATCTGTATCACTGAGACCCCTTAGTCCCGAAGGCTGGGAGTCGACTGAAGAGACGGAGCAGGTGCTTTCACTGTCCTGCTCCCTTCCCATGAGCCCACCCTAATCTGGCATGTGACCTGAGGCAAGTCTGCACCCTCTCCAGGCCTCCACCTCCTCCAATGTAAAGCAGTGAGTTTTGACTAGAGGTGTGATTTGATTTTAAGCAGTAGAATCCTTTGTCTAACAAAGTCTACGTCAGAAACCCAGCCCGTGGAAGCAAGTAGAGGTGCTGTGGAGAGGGTAGGAGTGAGCAGAGAGGGGAGCCCTGGAAGATGTGGACCTCACCTGGGCAGAGGCTAGGCCCCTTGGTCAGCACCCTTTACCCAAGGACTCTTGCCCTCGAGTGTAGCTGCTGGGCTGGGCGAGCTGGGGTTGTCTGTTTCTCCTGCTCCAGTGCTCAGGCCAGTATCCCTGGCTGGGGAGGTCAGATCCTGGAGGGCAGAGTCGGGCTTCTGGCTTTGGGAATTCAGGGAGTAAGCGCCCCCTCGGAGCTGCCCTGCTGGCTCCCTCACAGGAGTGGCAGGAGGGGCACGGGAGGTCAAATGTGAGCACCATATGGGTGGTAGGGTAAGAAGCATCTAATCTAAAATGCTTTTGTCTCCTCAGGTTTCCCTGGGAACCTGGTTCCTTGCTGGGCAGGGTTTAGTCAGGGTGGCCTACCAGCCTGATGGGCGGGTTCTGGGTGGCCGCAAGTATGGCAGCTGCTGCCTGGCCTTGGGCTGCGCACAGTGCTGGGAAGAACTAAGGCTCCGCAGTCTGGCAGACAGGGCAGGGCATGAATCCTGGCACCAACTCCTGATCACGAGCTCTAACGATGATGGCCCCACGAATAGTCTGCTCCTGCCTGTGCCTTCCCAGCCTAACTGCCATAGGAGCTGGGTGCCTGAAACGGACTCTATAAGGAATCTTGACTGAAGACAATCAAGAGCGTGGCTGGGAGGACCCTGGCCATTGGCGCCAGCCAGACAGGGCTGGAAACCTTGCTCTACACCCAGGCTTGAATTGCAGCCCTCTTCTTAGCTGTGTCATCTCAACCTCTGTGAGCCCCAGCTTTTGTCAAATGCAAAGTGGGGAGCGCTTTCCTACTCTGCAGGCTTGTAATAAGAGCAAAACAAAGCCGTGCTCAAAAAGCCCTTTGTGCCATGCCTGCCTCCTAGTAGGTGTTAATAAAATGATCCCCGCTAGCACCACTCCAAAGACAGGGACACTGTGCCTCACTGACAGTCTGTGTTACTCCCATCACCGGCCAAGTCTGTTAACCTAATGATAGGTGGGAGGTATTTGGGATGGTAGACTGTACTTGCTGGACTCCCCCATGAAGTGGCCAAGGCCGCATGTGGAGTTGAGCTGGTTCCCCAGGGCCTGAATGTACTTTCAGGATGTTCACAAGCCATCAGGAACTTTCTGCTGGCTCACCCAGCTATTTAGAGTGGTCAGTTCTGCAGATACCCACTTGCCCCGCCCTCCTCTCCTCTCCCCACTGTCCACTAGCTTGATTCCCCTCACTCTGACTTATGCCGGAACTATGGCAAGAAAATGCTGAAGTCAGTATGTATAGGAAGAGCAACAGTTCTAAAGATGGTGAAAAGAAAAAGGGGACCCTTTGAGGAAATGCGATGGTCCTTACTCGATGTTTGTCTCACAGATTGTGAGTACGGAAGATCTAGCCCAGCAGGCGGCCTCTTATTTCTTTTCCTCCAGCATCTATTTTTTTCCTTCAGGATTTGTGTAATCTTCTGGTTCGAGTTCCTTCCTCAGCATTTGCATATTTAAATGAGATACTTCTAAAAAGAATGAATTTGTCTACAATCTTAATGTAAATTAATGACTATCAATGTAAGCTATGAGCAAGGGTTAAAAAACTACCACCACAAAAACCAAATTAACAAAAAAACTCCATGTCCTAGCCAGAAAGTTAAAAATGGATCTCTGCAAGATTGGGAAAAAAAATGACCTCTGGTTAAAGTGCCCAGCTTAAAAACACAGAAGCAAAAGGTCTCTCCCAGCACGGCTCTCCCTCGTCGGAACTTGCCTCTGTGCCTGTGTGGGCCTTGCACTGTCCCTGGGCACTCAGTCCAGACTTACTACTGTACCTGTCGAACTGACTTTAAGGGACTATGTTTTTCATGAGGAGAGATTTGGGCCTCTGCTGTTCCTTTCCTGTTCAGTCCACAGGCTTGCAGGAGATCTAACAAAATGAGGTTGGCCCCTGGCACCATGAAGGAAGCCAAGAGCCTCCCTGCCCCCAGCTTGGGTCACACACCCACCCTGGAGCAGGGAGGGAAGCCCTGGCACATACTCACTTGTCCAATCTTCTTCAAAGCAATGCAGGAAGTGGAATCCCACCATGATGAGGGCGTGCAAGGAAATGAGAGCTATGTACATCTGAAACAGGAAAGCAGGGCAGATACCATTGTTGTGAGAACCCTCTGACCTAACAAGCTCCTGGGGCAGGGGCTCTCAGAACCTCCCACTCAGGAATATTGGTCAGGCTGAGGCCTGACCAGGAGGGGGCCAGAGCAGCGCCTGGTGATTCCCCCGAGGGTCCCTGCCCCTCAGCCCTGGGTCTGAGGTGAGCAGCCATGGGTGGGAGGGTATGGAACCAGACCAGAAACAAAGCCCAGTCACTAGGCAGTCTGGGCTGCCTGGGGCTCCAGACATGTTGCTTCTTGAAAAGTCAGGGTGCTTGCTGACTGCCAACGGCCCCTCCAGTCCTCGTGCTAAATAGACTCCACCTATTGGCAATGCAGGATTGGAGGTCATCATCAAAACTACCTTCTTGAGCCACTTAGGTCCAACACTTGGGATAGGAACCCAGAACATAGCCTTTGCTCATAGCTAATCAACTTGAATCAATTTGCTCAAGTGAAGTGCTTAGGAACGGGCACTTTGTTGAGCCAAGGAGATCTTTGGCAGGAAGGTGGAGGTCTACGGGGCCAGGCAGTACTCTGAACAGCAGCAAAGAACATCATCAATGCTGAGAATTTTCAAAGGAACAAAGTGCTCCATTGCTTCACCAAGGGCAAGGCAGAATTCGGAAGCTGACTTACTGTAAACAGGACGAAGTACTTCTGGTTGTTCTCGCCGACACAGTTATTGACCCAGGGACAGTGGTGGTCCATCTTGCGAATGCACCGCTTACAAACACTGAAACAACCCACAAGTCAGACCTTTAGGGTGTCCTTACAGTGTTGGGAGGGCCCCCAGGGAACACACGACCCACAGCTCCAGCTGCACTCCTCTGAAATGGCTACCGTGGGCACTGCCAGGGGTTTTTCTGGGTGTGTATTGCAAGGGGCCTGGAAGACAGGGTCAGGACCCCTAGGGCCGCAGTTGTTCCAAGCAGGGGGACAGAGTCATTCCCCTTCAAGGCCTCTTATCTTGTTTAACATATAAGTAGGATGGAACTGATTGGCTGAGACAGAGGCTGCTCTCCTGAGGTAATGTAGAGCTTAGAGTTTGGTTTACTGAGGAAAAGAATAAAGAAGAATTTTGGAAAACTTGACCTAGTGGGCTAAGATACAGAAAACACCTGCTTATTTTCCCTAAAGACCAAACAACCAAGGGAGGGGTTGTTCCAGATGCACTACCATGTGCTACCAGGGAGGGCATGGCACCTCGACCCTAGAGTGACAAAGGAAAGAAGAGAGGGCTATTTCAGAGCAAGATCAAGGACAGCAGGAAGGGCCAGGTGTGGTGGCTCATGCCTGTCACCCCAGTGCTTAGGGAGTCCAAGGTGGAAGGATCACTTGAGGCCAGGAGTTCTAGACCATCCTGGCAACACGGCAAGACCCTGTCTCTATTAAAAATAAATACATAAATAAATAAATAAAATTAGCCAGGTGTAGGAGTGCACGCCTATAGTGCCAGCTACTTGGGAGTCTAAAGAAAGAGGATCACTTGAGCCTTGGAGTTGGCAGGTTGCAGTGAGCTGTGATCGTGCCCCTTCCTGTACTCCAGAGAGAGACCCTGTCTCAAAAAACAAAACAAAACACATAAACCAAAAAAAGGACAGCAGGAAGCCCAGTTCCCAGAACCTTTTGGCTCTAAGATAACATCCATTGTGCCAAGAAAAAGCAGAAAAATCATTCGAGCTTAAGTGTCCACCAGATAATCTCATTAGTTTGCATATATCTAACTTGTTATTGTGATAATTTTGGGGCTGAGACTGTTTCAAGCTTATTTGATAGCAAACACCACTCCCTCTCCCCCTCTGGACAATACAAAGTAACGATATGAAACAAGACTGACGGGGGCTTGAAAGCAACTCCTTCCCAAAACCAGTTTAGAAAGACTCATTTGCCAACAGATATGCTCATCAAAAATCTTTTTTTTTTTCCAATTCATTATTTTAATGAATTTTAGGCTCCCTATCTTTGGGGTATTATTTGTTCAAAACAGCTTGAAATATAAATACGAGCTTAGAAAGAATATAATTAGATTTCCTTTTTAAAAGTTCCTTAGTTCACACCAGCTTTTCTCTCCACTAGTTTCCATAACTAACTTTATCTTAGGGTCTTGAAAAAGTACACAGTGGGCGATGGAGGGCAGACCCTGCAGGAACAGCTGGGCCTCAGGGCCCTCCGGGTCACATTCACACCACGGTGCTGGCTAAGCTCTTGCGGACCACCTAGAAGGGCAGGGAAAGCACCGGAGCAGCTCTGTTGGGCTGGAGGTGTGCTGTTGCCTGGACTCCAGGGCCCGCAAGCACGGACCGCTCTGAAGGAGTCCTCCAGGGCAGGGCACACTCACATCCCAAGGAGGAGATGTGGCATAAACTTTGGGGGCAGGGCAGACCTGGGTCTGCTAAGCTACCTCAGTCAAACTGGCTAGACCCCAAGGCTTCAGGTTTCCCATCTGTACGAATGTTGCTGTAAGGAATACATGTGGATAGACACTGGGCCTGGCTTGGACAAGTGGTGGATTCATTCTGGTCTTTACCCTTGCTCTTCTCTACAAGTCAAAGGGGCTGGCTAACACAGGCATGACGGGAACGGTCACATCTCAGAGATGCAGGCGAGGCTCCAGAATCTCCCTGGGGGCCAGGAGGGCAAGGTAAGAAAAGGAAGTATGAAAGGGACATGGAGGGTGACAGAGAAACCCAGGTTCCAGCAACTCCATTACCCAGTCTCTATCGCTCTGTTTCTCTATCTCTGTTACCAATACACAATTTTAAAAGTACAGACAGTGAAGAATGAGCTGCTCCTTGCATCCTAGCTAGGCCTCAGCCACCAAGCATCATTCTCCCTCCATGGGGCCACTCACCATAGCCCATTTCTCGCATGTTCTTCCTTAGACTATCAGCTCTAGGATTTCTCAATCCCCTCCCTACCTGGGGAACAAACTCCAGAGGGTAACCACCTCCCTGCTCCAAGCTCCTGAGCAGTTTCTCTTCCATCTGTGCTTATTGTTCAAAGGGTTTTCAAGGGGGTGCTCTTGAGGCAGTGTTGGCTGAGTGGCCAGGAAGTGCCAAGTGGCTGGACATCCTCTGAAAGCTGCCCACGAGTGTAAACAAGCTCTCACAGCAACGCCGTCCTTTGCTCCCCTCCCAGCCTCTCTGAATAGATAAGGCACGAATACCAGGAAGTTGGGTTTCCCAATGGGATGGGTCTCACTGAGCGTCCAAATTAGAAAAATACACATCCTTCAGAGTGAAGGGAAAGTAAGTACAGCCCGCTGAGGGCTGCAAAAGTTGGTCCAAAATGCTGGGCCTTGAGTTTCCTGTTTGCAAAGATATGAAATGCCAAGCTGATACTCCTCCTCTCTCTGGGCCAGGTGCTGGCAGATAGTAAGTGGGGTGAGGCCATCCCACTGTGACTGGAGGCACTGCTCAGAGGCAACTTGCTCACAGAAGCCTCAGCCAGAATGGCCTGGGGCTGGAGCTTGGAGCAGCCAAGGGCAAGGCCTGGAGGCAGGTCCCAGAATGGGGCAGAGAAGGACACTCCACACCCCACCCTGCTGCTTCGCCTCAGGGGCCATCTGTCATAAGGAGGAAGAAAAGATATGGGCCTCCCCCCAAGGCCGGACACCCCACGCAGGCACAGGGATTCAATCACCTCAGAGGCAGCCCTCTTCCCAGCTCCCTCTGCACACACGTGGGCAGGAAGCTTGGCGGTGTCCCCTCCCAGACACAGCAGCCCAAGCACAGTGGCCAAGGAAGGCTCACCGCTCACACAGACTGGGAGCCTGTCCAGCCTCCACACACACCCGCAGTCACCCTGCCTGCCTTGGCTGTGGATGGCCCCATGCCCGAGGGCCCTTTCTCCACCTTTTTCACTTGGCAAAATCCACCCTGTTCTGAGGCTCTTTCCTGGCTTGGCTTTCCTTGCTCTTGTCCACGGCCATCTCCTAGCATTCCTTTCTAGCACTAATTCCAGCGTCTCGTGGATGAGACGCTGTGAGCTGGTGAGCTCCCAAGGCACAGGGACTGAGTGTGCAATAACAGTCCCTCAAAAGACCAAATGCTCTACATGGAGGAGTTTTTTTGTGCGTGTGTCCTGGCCTTCCAAGTTTCCCAGGCCCCTTCTTTGTTTCTAAATCACTGTTTTATAAGGCAGCAGATGTTTCTTTTTTCCTCTTCCTCCAGGTTCCCTACCCTTTTTCAGGAGCTCATATGCTTTGTTTCTCTGGGGCTTCTGTGTACTCTCCAGGGAGGTACGAGGGCCCTTCCTTGAGAGTCAGCCCCCAAGGAGCTGGCTGAGGCTCTCTTGCCCTTCCTGGGTGATGGCTCAGCCCAGGAACAGCCATGTCCCGTGGGGGCTCTTTGTCTCTCCCTATAGCAGCACTTAGCAAACTACACATGGTGGAGGAGTGTGCCTGCCCTGCCTGGGTGGGAAGCTCCTGGGGTCAGGGTCATGTCTAATCTACCTCTATAAGCCCAGAGCCAAACCCAGGGCCCTGCTTAGCCAGGGGCAGCTGCATGAAGGCTCCCACACTTCACACAAAGAAAGAGCGAGCCTGGGAAATGAGCTCAATCACGTCAGACTGGGGTGCTCCAGCAGGGAAAATAAAAAGAAAATAGCAAGAAAGTACTGCACGTGTAAGTTTTCATTTTACACCTCACAGGCTACGACTACAATTATCAGCAAAAAAGACATCTTCACCACATTCTGGCTCCAGCTCAGAAACAGTTTTGGGAAATACGGTGCAGTGGAGATAACAGGGATCTGAGGGCAGATCCTCACTTTGGGCTCTGGGCAAAGAAACTTAGGTTCTCTAAAGCAGCCTCAGCAGGAGAGTACCAAATAATGTATGTAAACTGCTCAAGAAACAATACTTGTATTATATAAATTTTATAAGTAATCATAACCATGAGAAAGACCAAACAAGAATCCAGCAGGGGCACCAAGCAGCCCCTAACTGTCTCAGCCTCAGTGTGCGTGTCTGGGTGTGGGGGGCCGGGCCGTGGGCCTTGCTAAAGTCAGAGGTCTCCACCTCCTCACGCAAGAAGAACCTAAAGCCTTGCCTTGGCATCCACATTTGTGTGAATGACTCCTCCCACAGGATTTCCACATGCTTCCGTGGTCCTTATGAACAGGAGAATTGACATCAGGATGAAAACAGCGCTGGGTTTCAGAGTGTCTCTCCTGGGAGGGAAAGACCCACCCATATACCACAGGGCCAGAGGGAACACCTACAGGTCCAAGGTCTGGGAGTACCTGTGGTACCCACCATAGACCAGGGAATAGAAACAGTCTCAAGTTCTATGGACTCTGTTGGGCAGAGAGGACCCAAACAGCTGGGCACAATCACATGGGTGCACACGTGCACCTTTGCCCAAGTGGGCAAGACTGACATGAACTTTCTCTAACCAGGCAGGCAGCCTGCCTCTGGGCTCAACCAACCATGAATAAACCCAGTCTGTCTAGTTTGCTGGGGATTCTGCTTATCCAAAACCGTGAGTCCCCAGATGGCCTGGGCCACCATGTGCCATCACAAAGGAGAGTTGTCAGCATACATTCTGAGGCAGGGACAGGCAACTCACAGGCATCCTCACTTGGAGTTCATCTGAATCAGCACATCTTGTTTTGCTCAAGCTGATTTGTTTACTAGCACACAAGAATACCTCCCTTGGATCATCCCAGGGAGAGAGGAAAGGAGGAGGCGGTGAGGAAAATGCCAGGCAGTGGAGGCAGCCGAGGGCTCACGGAGGGAAGAGAAAAGAACCACTGTGATCGCCCAAAAGTTCTTTTCTAACAGTTAACACCTTCCTGCTTCTGGTCCAGCCTTTGTAAACCCAAAACATCCCTAACTCCTTACACGTGCTTCTACCAACGAGTAGCTTCCACTTATTGAGCTGGGTGACTCACACAGTTGCTCATATTTAACCTTCGCAACAAGCTGGGGAGGAAAGACTCTTTTTACAGAGGAGAAAGCTGAGGCTCAGAGACAGGCAGCACCTGGCCTGGTCCCACAGTGTGGCAAGGGACAGCACTGGACTTCCAACCCTGACCTCTGCAGCTTCAAGGAGAGTGCCCCACCACACTGGCCTACCCTGAAGCGCTGCATAAGCAAGCCGGGCCCTTTTTATACAGGTGATGCTTACTTAGAAAACAGGGGGCTCCTAAGCCCTAGTGTGGCAGGATAGACTGACGCCCCTATCTCAGGCACCAGAAGCGAGCCCTGAATTAGATCTCAGAAGCAAGCTACCCAGAGACAGAAACCCCCCAGGAGATAGCGATCACCACCAGCCCTGCCCAAACTCCTCAGCACTCACCCTCAAGCAGGCAACAACCAGCTGGGGAGGTCTGCAGATCTCTTTCAGAGAGACAGCAAAACATAAATATGATTACATAAAGTTATATGAGTCACCCCCAAACTGGAGTTCTAGTGGACAGAGCCCTGTCTGAACTTAGAACCAGAACCACTGTGACCCAATCCTGTCTCTAGTAGTTACCAGCTATGGGACCTTGGAGCAGTCACTTAACCCTTTGAGCCTTAATGTCCTCATCTCGGGAGGTTGTCCCTGTAGCCATACCTATCCCAGGGGTGACCAGGAAGATGAAAATAAGATGATTGAGGATGAGGCAGGGCAGGCTGAGGGGCTGGGGACATAGCAGGTACTGAGGAGCTGATGATGGAATCTGAATGCTGGAGACTGAGGACTCTCCTCCGAGAGGTGGGCCGATTTTTAGCTGCTCAGATCTCTCACACCCAAATGTCTCCACAGCCTTGGCCTGAGAAGGATGACCTCTAACACCAGGAGGAAGTTCTTTCCTCCACAACCCCTCCCCACCCCAAGCACATACAACAGTCTGAAAAGGAGACCAAGTGACGTGTTTGTATTTCTGTAATTTAGCATTTAAAATTCCCTTATAATAATAAACTGCAATTTTTAGCTAGATGTTTTCTTATCAGGAAGACTTAAAACAATAAAGAAACTGAAAACAAAAAGGGAAAACTCACCACAGCTAAGACGGGGAAATGACTTTTTTAGTTGATTTCTGCAGTGGTCATAACCTCTAGAAGTGTTGTTTAAAAAGAAAGCCTGCATTCAAGGGCAACCCCTTCTTTTCAAGTACTAGATGTTCACAGAACGATTTTTAAAGTTTTGTCTACGGTACCCTTGTGATAAAGCTATAAGGTAGGAAAAGTGGGAATCCCCTCAATTTTACATATGTCAAAACAAAGGAGGGGACAGCCAAGGGCCTGCCCAAGTCCTACACCAGGTGTGGCAGAGCCAAGTCCCGGAACAGGCATCCTGAGCCCACACTGAATGCCCTTTCCCAGCTTGCGGGGAGGTGTGTGTGTGCAGGGCGGTGGGGGTGGAGGGAGACAGGGAGGCGGGAGGAGAGAGGAGGCGAGCCCCAGCAAGTGTACCTGCAATGGTGGGCTCGGTCGGGCTTGATGCTGCAGCATTTGGGACACTTGTACACCACCTGCCCGGGCTTCAACTGTAAGCTCTCGATGAATTCTTTCGTGGCGTTTCCTTTGGGCACTGCCCCCTGTAGGAAAGACGAAAGGCATCAGGGTTGGGCCGAGGGCGCAATCGGTTCTAACGTTCTACAGTGGAGAAAAGCAGCAACCACACACACACACGGACAGGACGTTTTGGTACCAACATGTGGACTCTGTGTTCTGAATTATGCCAACACCAGGGAATATTTATTGATCAAGAATTTTCCAGGCCGGGTGCGGTGGCTCACGCCTGTAATCCTAGCACTCTGGGAGGCCGAGGCGGGCGGATCGTTCTGAGCTCAGGAGTTCGAGACCAGCCTGAGCAAGAGCGAGACCCCGTCTCTACCAAAAATAGAAAGAAATTAATTGGACAGCTAAAAATATATACAGAAAAAATTAGCCGGGCACGGTGGCGCATGCCTGTAGTCCCAGCTACTTGGGAGGCTGAGACAGTAGGATTGCTTGAGCCCAGGAGTTTGAGGTTGCTGTGAGCTAGGCTGACGCCACGGCACTTGCCCCAGGCAAGAGAGTGAGACTCTGTCTCCAAAAAAAAAAAAAAAAAGAATTCTCCTGAGAAAATGCCATTAGGCCACACTAATCCCTTGATTAACTTTCTACACTGAACAGTTACATTGTTCTTGATTATTTTCTATTTTCATTTTGCTAATATTATCTTCATTGAATCCATTCTTTCCTATATAAATATTATAATGAGGATTTGATTCACTATTTTTTGGTCTACATTAAATTTCCTGGTAACAGCTTCTCCCTTTCTGAGTTTTCATTGGTGAGCACCATATCTAACAGTCCAGTTTTCCCAGATCAAAATTTGCAGCTCTACATTTTAATGGGTTGTGTTTACTAGGATCAAGTTTTATTTTATTTTTTTTTACCAGTACTGTTGTTATGAAGGATTGGTAATCTGTATTTAGTTCTCAGTGAATCCACAAGCAACTGGGAGCCACTGCCCTCAGGTGTTAATACTTGTGTTGCTGGCCAGAACTGCTCTTTGATCTGCTCTCCAACCCTGTTAGTATGCTTGTGAATACTTTGTGTTCTTTGGAGCCAACAGCAGAACCAAAATGCTGTAAGAATCTGCTCTTGCCGGGCGCTCATCCGAACAGAAAGAAAACAGGCGGTGCACAGTCTAAGCAGGGTCTCGATAACCAACCTTCACTAAGCACCTACTTGGTGCTGAGCCCTGGGCTCCCACCTAATTGCTGTGGACTCAGGAATCAAAGGTCTCTGCTTCCAGGAGGCTTGTGGTCTTTTGCAGGCTAACAGGCAATTTTAGTAAAAGGGGTTGCATACTGCAGAAGACATCTGTGTTGAGGGAGCAGAAAATTAACCAGGGGAATCAAGCAGTTTTAAGTGATGTTTGAGGGCTGTCCTGGGCAATGTGCAGAGCCTTGCTAGGTAGGCCTGTGAGAAAAAAAGGATTCTAGCACAGGAGGGGTATGGGTAAAGGCAGAGAGGTGAGGGTGAGCATGGCATATCTGGGAGATGATGAGAAGATTGGTGTGCTGAGCTTAGGGTATGCAGTATCAGCAGGGAGGCTGGACTGATGGGCAGGGGCCAGCCGTGTAGAGCACTGAATGCCAGGCCCAAAGGTTGGGGTGAGATTTTTCTTTACAGGTAGCCATTAGGTAACACTGGTGTTTCTGGAAGAAAGCTTAGTTGCTTGTGCTGTATGGGTCAGATAAGAGCGAGAGATTAAAATCCTAGACACTACTTAGGAGGTTACTGCTGATGGTCTAGTAAGGAAGGACTGAACTATGAAGATGGAAGAGAAGAAGTGGAGAGAAAATTCAGAGATCTGACTCTACAAAATGTGTGGGGAACCAACGTAATATTGTGGTGGTGGAGGGGGTGACGAAAAGGGAGGACATAAGCCCCAATAAGGTTTCCATTTTTAGCAGCTGGTAAACGGTAGCACCCTTAAGCCATTAAGAGAGCACAGAAGAAGCAAGTGGGAAACTCCACCTGCTTGGCCCAGCTCAAACAAGAACCATGTGTAACACCAGGTCAAGTGTCATCTATGGGATAAGACTGGAGCCCTCACCCTCCCACCCCATGGCCCCCACATCAGGTCTGTATGACACCAGGCTCCACTCCTCAGTGGGCATCCGTGAGATAGCACAATCAGGGAAGTTAGTGTAACATCAGAACAACAGAACCTGACACTGTCCCCAAGTTTTGAATGGGCCCATGACAGTGTGGTTTATTAGGGTGGACAGGTGGGGGTTTTAGGCAGAGCATCATTGGTCACCCCAGAGTAGGGCTGACGGGCTATAACAGGCCACGTGAGAGGTTCTCAGAGCAGAAGAGAGGAGGACTGGGTGTCAGACCCTTTCCTGCAAAAAGAAATCTGGGAAGAGAAGAACCACTGAAGAAACAGAAAAACCTTTAAATGCGGAGAATGCAAGGGAGCTGTGGCTTTGTCTTTTGCTAAGAAAATGACTCATAGCGGATAAGGATTCCAACTAAGGAAACTGCAGAGACAAATCAACCAACAACTCTCTCCTGAAAGTCTACACTGTGCCAAGCACTGTGGGAAGTATGAAGCAGCGATGGGAGCCCAGGCCTCAAACAGTGGGTGCACAGACACACAGATGCAGTGAGGTGGCCGAGGCTAAGTACCTGGTGAAAGGCACGGCCACCAGTGCATCAGGAGTGAAGGGGAGGCAGGAGGACTGAGGGTGGGGATCCCAGGAAGGCCAGAAGGATCCTGGGGGATGTTACGCAGAAGAGGAACACCTGGGAGGAGAAAGAGTTCAAGCACAGGCCCAGAGATGGGCCTTGAGACCTCCCGGCCTCCTCCTCATGTGGCTCTGCTGGGGCCCCAGCCTCTCCCCTGGTGAGTCTCCCCTTCTGCCTCGGGAGGACCTATTCACTCCTGAGATGGGCAGCACATGGCTGCCTGGTCATTCAGAGCAATGACGTGCTTCCCCACTGATCTGTCTTGAGCATCAGGAACTGAGGGCTCATGTGTAGCAGGAGACAAGGAGACAATGAGAAAATCCAAAGGAGCACTTGTCCACACACACACTCATCTCATTGGTTGAGGCTCAGGACTGACAGTTAAGTGGAGATGAGGTCTACTATACCCTTTCAACTCTCTGCAGTGTTTCCTTAAATTTTTTTTTTTTAAAGGGGGGATCTTGCTATGTTGCCCAGGCTGGTCTCAAACTCCTGGGCTCAAGTGATCCTCCTGCTTCAGCCTCCTAAAGTGCTAGGATTACAAGTGTGAGCCACTGTGCCTGGCCAAAATATTTTGTTAAAGTTGAAAAAAGATGTAGAAACAAAATCTGGCCTGCAAAATATAGTCAGATGTCAGGAAAGCCTATGACAAATTTTAAAAGCAAACAAACTTTGGTAGACAAGGACCACATGGTATGTACAATGCCCAAGAATGGAAAAATAAGCACCATACGTACTCACCAGCAAATTAGTTTCACTGATCAACACCTAAGTGCACATATAGGAATAACATTTATTGGGCGTTGGGCAGATGGGAGGGGGGAAGAGGGGATGGGTATATGCATACATAATGAGTGCGATGCGCACCATCTGGGGGATGGACACACTTGAAGCTCTGTCTGGGGTGGGAGGGCCAGGACAATGTAACCTAAACATTTGTACCCCAATAATAATATATAGCTTTGGATATTAAATATGCTATAAAAATACATAACTACTGACATGGGAAACATCTCTGATAGATTATATACACACACACATATATGAACAGGAAAGAGGGTGTATCTTTACCCTCTTACACACTCTCTTAAAAAAAAAAAAAAAAGCCAGGCGTGGTGACACACAGCTGCAGTCCCAGCTACTTAGGAGGCTGAGGTGGGAGGATCGCTTGGGTCTAGGAATTCCAAGGCAGCAGTGAGCCACCAGGGAAACAGTGAGACCTCATCTCTTAAAACAAAATGAAGAGAGATGCCAAAGTCTTAGTGGTTATCTCATGTAGTAGGATCACAGGTACTTTTTATTTTCTTGACTATATTTCTTAAATGTTCTATTATGAGCATATAGCTTTTGCAATAAGGAAACAACACATTAAAAACATGAAAAAAAAGAAACCTCAAGAAGAAGCCATCTAAAGAAGTAATATGACCAATTTTCCTGAAGTATGTAACCAAAATGCTATCATTGTCTCATCTTGAGACATCCAAGGGCCCCCGGTGAGGCACTGGTGAGGGGCTCAGGTCTGGAAATGTTCATGAAGGCAAGGCGGAGCCCAGATCACACAGCACGAGTGGACCTCCAAGGGGGCCTGGGAAGGGCACTGGCCCGGGCAGAGGAAAGGGTCTCGCAAAAGCCCAGAAGGCCCTATTTTTCATTTTCTTTAATGCAAAAAGTAATTGAGTTTGGGCAATTGTGTGACCTTCTGTAGATCCTGAAACCGCAACACTGCAACTGAAGTCACTATTATCATATGTACAAGAGAAAACGTGCAAAGGGACATCATGTCCCTCCTGGACATGAAGTGGTGGGGCTGAGTTTTCCTAAATCAAAGCCCAGGTGGTTTTTTGTTCAGGCCCAGTTTTTAAGAAGGTCCCAGCCACCAAAATTTGCTGTAAACCCCAAAGACCCTATGTAAAGGACTATAAGAGGAAACCCCTAAACCGTAAAGGGCAATCAGAGCTCTCACATGGTATTCTCATCATTGCCTGTTATTCCAGACCACGATTAGAGACATTCTTTAGCAGCTCAGCCTGTCGAAAAGTGTGTCCCTCCATGTGACTCCATTTGCATAAATCTCCCAGAAGTCTCATCCCCATTCAGGACAGGCCCCACCTGCCCAGCCACCTGGGCCCATCTCTCAGAGCCAGAGAGCAGCTGGGCCAGCCTGGAGACTGAGGAGTCTGTGACACATGAGCTTTCCAGTCTCTGCCTCAGACCCACTTTCTTTTTCCCTTCCTTTCCTTCCTTCCCTTCCTTCTCTCTCTCTCTCTCCTCCCCTTCCCTTCCCTTTCCTTCCTTCCCTTCCTCTCTCTCTCTCTTTCCTCCCCTTCCCTTGCCTTTCCTTCCTTTC